TTCATAGATGACTCCTCTGGGGAGGCTTGTTTGAGTAATTTTTTTTCTTATTTGTCTATCGTGTTATTGTTGTTGTTGTTGTTGTTGTTGTTATTTTGAGATAGGGTTTCTCTGTGTAGCCCTTGCTGTCCTGGAACTCGCTCCAGGCTGCCCTTGAACTCAGAGATTCGCCTGCCTCTGCCTCCTGAGTGCTGGATTACAGGTGTGTACCACTACCACCCGGCTTCTCTAAAACACCTTCACTATTCACTGTTATTCACCGCCATTGTCTGCCTCTTATTTGTGTATCTTATTTCTCTTAAGTCTGGACTAAGTAATAATTTTCAGTACACTGGCATCACTTGATCTTAATTGACAAGGTATGTTTAACCATCTGTCTCTAGTTGGCAATTATCAGATTTAATTCCCATCCCTGACCTTTTCTGCCCAACTTCAGATTTGTCTCCTCCTCAGCATCTTCACTTGGGTTTCCAACTGATCTCACTGATGCCACTGAGCTGTTAATCGTCCCTCCAAACCTGTTTTCTAAAATTGACCTCAACCTTGACCTTTTTATTTGTTTAGTCTCTAAAGAGTGGAATGATCCTTCAATTTATGAGACTTTTTTAATATACAAAATGCATTCAGAATCTAACCATGCCTTACTAATATTGCCACAACCAAGCCCTTATCATATTTTCTTTTTTTCTTTTTGGTTTTTCAAGACAGGGCTTCTCTGTGTAACAGCCCTGGCTCTCCAGGGACTTGCTCTGTAAACCAGGCTGGCCTTGAACTCACAGAGATCCTCCTGCCTCTGCCTCCTGAGTGCTGGAATTAAAGGTGTGCACCACCACCACCCTGCTACACCTATCATATTTTACTTTGATGAATGTATTCCTTGTTGATTTCTGCATACAGTCTTGCTGTATATGGACTGTATTATTGGAATAGCAGCCAAAATGATTTTTCTCAAATATAAATGAGATCATGTCACTTTTCTGTTTTAACTTTGTCATGGGTCCTGTTTTGTGTAGGATCAAACCTCAATTTTGGGGGAAGCTCTAAATTTAGAAGTTCAAGGTTGTTAAGGTCCTAGATATAAAATGATATTAGTGCCCCCCTTCTAGTGCTAATACGTTATAGTCTGAATGTGAAAATAAATTAGTGTTATTGTGGCAAGTAAGACAGAATCGCAAATTTCAGGCACTTGTAATCAGTACAATTTCCCAGGAACACACAGTTATGCTCTTACAAATTAGACCTCTGTTGAAAAGATTTGTCAAGTTGGGTAGTGGAGATTATCTGTAGGAGGATTGGTCTGCTATGCAACTGAATATGGAAAAAAGAAAGAGTGGACAGAAAGCATGTTCTTTTTCTAAAGAACTTATAAACTTACTGAATGTGATCTATGTGTAGCCAAAAACCAATTGCACTAAGTATATCGTTCCTGGTCATGTAAACTTTAAATCTCTCTCTGTGTTTTCTATTCCTAATTACCACCCCCTCCCATTTTGTTCCTGTCAGAAGCAGGGCTCAATCAATTTGAAGATAAAGTGTTACAGGAAACATCTCCTTTTCTTCAGAGTTTCCAGTGTGAGGAAGTAGAAGAAGGTTTTGCTCTAGCTGTGTGGCAACCTTATTGCTCGTGACTCAGTTGGAAGGACATGAAAAGCTGAGCAGTAAGGGAAACCTGGGTTTCAAAGTCTATGTACTTTGTTCGAGCAGATTGAAGAGCCACCCGTGGGTAGGAGGAACCTATGCTAAGGGAGCTTGGGGACAGAACCTCCTGATTACAGCAGATCAAAAGCAGGGAGATTGGTGGTGGGCGGGGCTACTAAGAGCTGATACTCCAAGAAGCAAGGTGAACTCAGAATGTGCAGACACAGCAGACTTCTTAGCAATAAAACTACCTGGAGTCATTTGATGTAGAGCCCTGGAGTCACGGTATAGACGAGGCAGTAAATAAAACGAAAGAAAAAAAAAAACAACAACAACGAAAACACACACAAAGCATACAACACAAAGCAGTATCCACAAAACATTAGAATCAGTATGGAATCTGCCCTAGAAATCTTTCCACTTTAAATAGGTTGAAAGCATAAAGCTGATGTTGTCAAGACATCATATTTCCGTTTTGCTTGTGTGGGCCTGCTTATTCTCAGAACATGCCAGACTGATGAGGACTTACTAGGTACATGAAGTTAGTAGGTGACCGAAGCTATGACTCAAGAGAGTGAAGGTATCTATCTCCTAACAGCCTGGAACCAATCCTGTCAGTTGTGGGAATTTCGACCATTCATGAGATCACCAGGGAGTTGTTTCCTTCATTGTGACAGGGTCTCACAGTTCCCATGGAAGAGTTTACGTGCAGAACCTGGTGCAAAGCACATGCAACCCCAAAACACTGTCTGGAAAGATCAGGAGGGAGTCGTTTATGTTTGTAATTTTCCCTTCTCCCTTTAGACAGCCATGTTCTTCTTTCTGCATGGGGGAAGCTTTGGACCAGGGCCTGACCATTAGGTGATCAGAGCACCTGGCTTGGTTTTCATGCCTAGGCTTAAGCAGATTTTCTTTCTTTGACTTGTTTTCTTACACAAATGAACCTGCTTCTTCCCCAGATGGGTTCTTCCCTCTCCTTTTAACGCAGGCTGGTAAACATCAACGAATCGGGATCTTACAGTCCAAACGGACCCTAGAGTCCAGCTCTCAGCCAACCACTGATGCAAGGAACGTCCCTGAAAGACTGACAGTTTGCTTAAATCTTTCAGTGCAGAAATTTCCCAGTTACCACACTGCTCCTTTCCTTGTGAGTAGCTTTTATTACTACATATGTATAAATTCATAAAATGCAACATCTCCATGAGACGACCAGCTTTTCAGTAAAGAAATTGCGTACAGGGTACTGGTATATTAATGGCCTAAAGCCATGCAACTCTGCCTCCTTGGTATTGTTCACTAAGCAGCCAGAGAGTGTAATAACTTTTGTCATGTAACTTCTCCACCTGAGGACTTCCATTGTCCTCCTGAATGCTTCAGGCTAAAAACCGAAGGTGGAATTTTCTTTCAGGCCCTCCTGGGGTATGAACAAGGCTTTCTCCTCAGCTTCATAGCTAGTCACGTAGGCCTCTGAGGTTCTTGAGATCTGCCTACACCCTTTGTGCGTGGCTGCTACCTCCCTCTGGAAAAGTCTTCTCCCAGATGCCTTTCACACATCCTTCACATCTTTTCAGATTTCTGCCCAGATGACACTTTTTCAGGGACACTTATTTATTTATTTAAAGATCTCTCTTCCTACTTCATCATTCTCTTTCCTCTCTTTTTCCAATTTCCGGATTAATGTAAGTCATAGTATTTATCACAAACGACTCAATTGTGCCCTATACCCTAACATCATATAATACACTACCTGTGGGAATCATTACTGCCTTATGCATTAGTGCATATATATAATATCTAGACTTCAGAGCCCATAATAGGTAGTCAATAAAATACCAGCTGAATGAAGATTCCTGTTGGTCATGACATCAGTGGACTGCCTAATCCTGTACTATGTAGTTGTTTCAGGAACATTTGGTTTTAGTCAGCACACTTAACCTTTTGCTAAATTCTTTATTGAAATGAAAGCTATATTATGTCTTTGGGATTCTTCCTATAGGAAAAAAGAATTGTATTCTTTCATTAGTGGGGAAATAAGGAAGGCAGCATCTGACTTCTTCTTAGAAAATTCCTTAAGAACCAGATAGACATTTTCCAAGTGCTTATTAGTCACATAATAAAAATTATATTTTATAATTTTGTCAAGCGTCAAGGTCAAATTCTTCTCTCTATCTTTAATCAGATACACCCCCAACTCCAATGTTTTTCAAAGTTAGAGTAGTTTTCTTGTGTGTCTAGTCATCTCATCCTTCTTCTGGCTCTCTTTCCTTAAAGATAGTATGTTCCTCGAGGCCAGTTGTTTTCCTGGGCCACATGCCCTCCATCTCTAGCGGATTCTTTCTATTTCTCAGAGTGGGCTCAGAGGCAATACTTCTAGGTAACAGAGCACCATTATCTTCTCAATGAAGAGTGAACCAAAAATCTCAGCAGTTCAGTGAGTACTTGCTGTTGGCCATCATAAGTTAGTTTTTGTAAAGCATCACTATACACAATTCCACCAATTACCTTGATGCTCAGAGTTCTTGGTCATCTTGTCCATCTACTTTTAGCTTGGCTTTTATATCTTGCTTTCTCCATTCTAATTTGATTGCGTGGATCTTATTTTGTGTCTCAGTAAACTGAATTGGGACTATACTCTATTTTCCCGCCTAACTCCAAATATTTCATTCTGTAGGTCATCTGAAAAGAGGTTCCTTTCAGCTTTTTTCTCATGCAGTGTTCTTGTTCAGAGACTCACATGCTGCTCTCCATTGTCTTGTTTGTTTGTCTCCTTAAGCCTGTGAGAAGCCAGCAGATTTCAGATTCCTTGGGGATGGAAGACCCTTAGTGCCGTGTCTGCACCAAGTTTCCCTCGTGTCGTTTGCTTTGAATGTTTTTGTTAATTAAGTTTGCCACCTGCTTTATCTTGATTCACATTTGCTATAGTGGGACCAAAGCCACCATCTTCACAAAGTACTTCTCCTTTGGCTGTGTAGGGCTCCATTCCTGCCCAGACTATAGCACCCAATTTAGCTCGGAGCCTGTGCTCTAGGGCCAGGCAGCCTGGATTCATGGCCCGCTTCCACCTCTTATTAACTTCGGGAGGTTTAGCTGCTTAAGCTCATTTTCACAGTCCATAAAATGGCAATGTAAATATTTGCCCACAGGTATGTTGTGATGCTTAAAGAAAATGTTGTTAACACAAAGCACTTTGAACAGTTGCTGCTCCCCTATTCTACAATTGGCTGCCCGAGTTTGGAATAAAGTGAAGTAGTGGAATTATTTTTCAGGCTTGGTTATTACCATTTCGTATAAACCTGGAAGACTTGTTTTTCTGGGTGGAGAAATGTTTTCTCTGCGTGAAGGTTTCATAATCACAATCAAGCAGGCCTATGAGGCCTGCCATTTAAAGTGGCTCCTCTCTTTTATCTATGCCATGCTTCCACCCTGGGAATGAGGACACAGAGCCAGCTGCTGAACTTCAACAGGATAAGCAGTGCATTCTCTTTGGTGTTCACACTGCCATGATTCCATGCCTATGGATGCCCAGCACTTGACATGGATATGCTTTGGATTTCATAATGTGGAGTCATTCTTGCTTCCTTGGGATTTCAGCTAAGTTTTAAACAGGTAAGCCAAAGAAAAAGAGGCATAGGATGGAGTCAGCCATAGAACTGGAGTTTATTATGTCTCCAGAGAAATAGAAAATGACAGCTTGAAACTTGGCCAAAGCCACACTGGGAGGAGTAAACCTATATAGTGGAGAATAGTCTTAAAATTTCGTAAATGGGGAAAGAAATGAATTTTTTTAAACGAAGCTCATAAAGACAAAGGTGAAGTTGCTTATTTGGAAAGGAAACTGTTAAGCAAAGAAGTGAATTTTTGTGAGCATTCTCTTGAAATTAAAGGAAAGAATGGGGTTGGGCGGTGGTGGTGGTGCACGCCTTTAATCCCAGTACTCGGGAGGCAGAGACAGGCAAATCTCTGAGTTCGAGGCCAGCCTGGTCTACAGAGCAAGTTCCAGGACAGCCAGAGATACACAGAGAAACTCTGTCTTGAAAAACAAACAAATGAAAACAAAAACAGAGAAAGGCTGAATAACTTATTGATAGAATTGTCAGGAACAGATATAAGTTCTAATATATCTCCCATGGTTTCTAACTCTAGCTCCTTTTCTGCTACTGTCAAATCATAGCAACCCACAGTGTATCTTTAACAGCTTTTAAGGAACATATTAACTGAATGTCCAAGTTTTGATTTGGCCATAAAATGTTAGCAGAGCTAAGGTTTTCTAGGATTAATGAATAACATGTCTTTATTTAGTTTACTTTAAAAAAATCATCCTAAAAATTCTGTTTACATATCTGTCCTCTCCAGGATTAACTTCATATTGGTTCAGCAGCTTGTTTACTGTTCTCTTCTGTCTTTTTTTTTTTTTTTTTGTCTTCCCTTCTCAGTGCCCAACCCAAGTTCAAAGGCTGATGAGAGAAAAACTCATGAAGAGATTTTACTCTAGGGAAAGTTGCTCAGTGGATGGGATCTTGGTGCACGGGGAAAGATGTCAAGCTCCTCCTGGCTCCTTCTCAGCCTTGTTGCTGTAACTACTGCTCAGTCCATCATCGAGGAACAGGCCAAGATATTTTTAGACAAGTTTAACCAAGAAGCTGAAGACCTGTCTTATCAAAGTGCACTTGCTTCTTGGAATTATAACACCAATATTACTGAGGAGAATGCCCAAAAGATGGTAAGTTCTTGAGGCTACCTAGGGGGTATTGATTGTTTATTAAAGACTAGAATGACGGCCTATAAAACTAGATAGGTAAATCATAGAAATCTCTGAAGTGGGAGGTTGAATGATTGCTTCTGTAGCTCTGATCCTAGTATTCCAGACGACTAAATTCAATTGACCTTGGAATTCATTTGGAAAGTTGTTATGAATGAACTCTCTGCCCAGATTCCAGAGACGATTCCAGAGACGAGTGAAAAATATTTGATAAAGTTACCATCACCATTCTGACTATACTTGGTATGCAAAGCGTTCATGGAAACGTTGTAAGTTAGTGAGTCAATAATTTTCTGTAGCCCAGAATGCCAACAGGACTATCTGAGGGCTACAAATGACATATTAACTAAAAAATGCAAGTGAGACTTTACTGAAGGCAGCAGCTTAGTAATTAAGGTAACCATGGCTTAGGTGAAACTGGACTTGGGAATTCCTTCTTTCATTGTTACAGAGTGCTGAGGAATTTCCAAAGGTCACAGAAGAAAAGCTATAATTAAACCAGTCCTGAAAACTCTCAGCCTACTCTGGGAAAGCAGCAGATTTTGCTTGACAAGTACAAGGACTTAGAATTATTTTTTTCTCACGGATCCTGAAGTGCCTTTTAAGTATATTTAAGTGATGGAAAACTGAGCAACTATTAAAGAGAAGACTTTCGTGTCTCCCCTGCCGCCCGCCCCCCAGCAATGCTTTCCTTCAAAGCTGTAGCTTAGAAGCCTCATTTCTTCAAATGCTCTGGGTGTTGTGTATTTAAATTACTGCCATTCATAGAACAGAGTGAACCTGAGAATTGCTGCCTCCTTTGAAATCCTAAGATTTTTTTTTTTTCTATTTTTCCAAAGTTCAAGAAAATCAAGGAGTTTTTGGACAATCTAATGTTGCTAAATGAGTTGCTTTTATATGATCTCACACTTTGGTCTTACCTACATTCTCTTTAGTGTAACTTTTTTCTCAAATTTTATTTGAGTTTTGTTGGAGGTGACCAAAGTGTACTGTAGATATTCTCAGCTGAATGGTTCATGGTGAAACATCATGTTTGAAAGCTAGCTGTCCTGGAGCTAGACTACTGACCTCCAAATCCTGGCCCCATCACTTTTTAGTTGGGTGGATTTGAGTTGGTTAATTAGACAGTCTGGGTCTTAGTTACTTTTTATGTTAAGATTTGTTTTTATTATTTTAAAAGCCATCTTTCCCGCCCAAGTCTTAATTTATTCACCTGTGAAAAAAATAAATAGTACTCATATTTGCTTCATCAGGTATACAAAAACCCCAGAAGAATGCTTGATGCTGGTGGGCTGTTATTAGTGTCAGAGGGAGTTAGGGTTTTTGAAGACATACAGAATAGTTCTTTTGAGGGCCTACATATGCAGATTGAGATGTAGTGATATTTGCTGAAACCATCTCTGAGATTATTATGGTGTTGGGGTTTGGCTCAGTGGCACAGTGCAAAAAAAGGGTGTTATCATGTTTAATTCTACAGGTTGATTAGAGAGCAAAATCTAGAAATGGAAGAGTATAAATCATCAGATGTTTTAAACTGGAGAAAATTGTGTGCCCTTTAAAGGACAAAAGAACATTTAAATGAAAGAAAAATGAGAAGGGACTCCATATCCCCTTTGTCAGAAAGCGGTGAAGGGTGCATCAAAGCCCTCAGGTGAACTGGTGCGCTTTACCTGCAAAGGGAGGCAATTGTGGGGGAGGGAAATGGTCCAGCTGCCTATTCTCTCCTAGGTTCATGTGTTGAGATTCTCTTATATGCCAGGCAGTGGACAGGTGTTCTAGGAGTTCTAAGATGAGGTTGCTGAGATATACTGTGCTATAAGGGGCAATAAGTGTACACGGAGTGTGACCATAACATGGTAAGCATGAAGTCGGGCCAAATAGCCTTCGTTCAGTTCCTCCTTTGAATGTTCCACACTGAAGGTCTTGATTAAGTGTCTTATTGAAAATAGATCTTTTCCCCTCACATACTATATCCTGATTACAGTCCCCCCCACTCCTCTCAGTTCCTCTCCATTTCCCCTCCTATCCAGATCCGCTCCCTTTCTGTCTCTCATTAGAAATCAAATAGGCTTCTAAAAGATAGTAAAAAAATAAAATATGATAAAATAAAACAAAGGCTAATATGTCAGATTAGGACGAAACAAACAGAAGGGAAAGAGCCCACGAAAATGCACAAGAAACAGATATAGCCACAGAGACCCACTTGTTTGCACACTCAGGAATCCCACAAAAACACTAAACTGGAAGCTGTAATATATACACAAAGATGTGTAATATATACACATCTCTCTCCCTGAGAGAGAGACAGAGACAGAGACAGAGAGAATATATAAAATAAAATAAAAATAAAATCAAACAAACAAAACAAAACAAAAAAGGAAGAGCCCTGACACAACATTATGAGACAAGGAACCTCCAAAGATGCTGTTGAGTTTGTTTTCTGTTGGCCATCCACTGCTGGGCATGCAGACTACCCTGAAGAGTAGTTTGTTGCCCAGTGAGACTCCCCTGGAGAAAATGAAAATTTCATTTGCAAGTGGTTATCAATTGGAGATTGCTTCTGGGTTAAGGGTGGGGGCACCTGTGTATTTCTCCCTTCAGCTCTAGGACCCATCTGCTGCAGACCCGTGCAGGTCTTGTACATGCTGCGTCAGTTTCTGTGACTTCATATATGTGTCGATCCTGTGGATCCAGAGAGCCTTGTTTCCTTGGTGTGTCCATCCCCTCTGGCTCTTACACTCTTTCTGCCTCCTCTTCCTCAGGGTTCCCTGAGCTCTGAGGGGAGGGATTTGATGGAAACTTCCCTTGTAGAACTGAGTGTCCCAAGGTCTCTCACTCTGTGCATAACATCTGGCTGTGGGTCTCTGTATTTGTTCCCATCTAGTTGAGTAAGTGTGTTAACTTCCTTCAGACGCATTCGACTCAGATGTAAACTGAATAAAATTATGATTGCAGTATTAATAATGTAGTCTATACTATAAGAGAATGCTGAATTTGGAAAATATGCAGTGTGTATGTGTGTGTGTGTGTGTGTGTGTGTGTGTGTGTGTGTGTGTGTGTGTGTTTGTGTGTGTAATTTGATACTGTACCTGGCATTTAGTTTGATCTTCAGCAAAAAGTATTATTCAGTTTATTCAGTGGCTTTGTATTTTGAAAAGTCCACGGTGTCACTGGTATCTCAAGTGTGCAGGTTTGATTAGATTTTTTGGCGTGTGGTATAGAAGTGTAACCCAGAGCCTTGTGCATGCCAGGCAAGTACTCAGCACTAGCTACATGCTCAGCTCAGGTGGTCTTGAATCAAGAGTGCCCCAGAAAGGTCAGATCTGAAGGAAGCTAGAGCCTTTCATTGCCGAGGCTCTTCTGAGATTCACAGAACAACTGCTGGGAACTAGGTTCTGGGAAAAAGCCGTCATGTCCCTTCCTTTGCCTGCTGCTTGGCCTTGTCAGTGGAGAATTCCGGGTCAAGAATTAAGAAATATCAACCCTATCTGTGTATTTGCACAGCAAGCCTTTCCTGAGCAAAGGGGAGAATGTGTTCCCATAAATTTGCACACTGCAGACTTTTCTCTGTTTTATTATAGATCCAAACTTGTACTTCAATATGCACTGACTTGTAGAGTTAGGAACTGTGAGTTTGCTTTAATGAGACTATCTGATGATCTAGTTTATCTTGGGGGGTGGTTAATGGAAAATGAACTTCTTGGACAGAGAAAATAAATAGTTCAGAAATTCCCAGAGTTTAACATTTGCTTAGCCAGAACTGACGCTTCACAGGAAAATACTTGAAATGACCACCGATAGTTTTGAGGTCATTAGGTTCTTCTGATCTTAGTGTGGTGCATTTATTGCTTCAGGGAGGCTTTGCAAGTTCTGAAAAAATGTTCTCTCATAAAACAAATATTTATAAAATGCCCAAAGAAGGTTTTTATAGGATCACTAATGCATAAGCAAGTATTTGATAAGAGTAATCCTAACTATAACAAAAACATTTACCACCAAAAGTTGTCATATATTATGGAATTACATGAATTGGAACTGGTCTGGAAAATTCAACTTGTGTGTAAGCTGGCTGTTACAGGGAGCTGGTGAACTGTAAGAAATGGTTTCAGATCAGAAAAGAAGATTCAGATCAGATCAGAAGTCATTTTAGATTGTCTCTTGAAGACATTAACTAAATACATTTGCCTGACCACAATGATTAACATTGTTCAAATGGTTCTGAAAGTAAAAGAGACACTTCCCAAGCCTTTAAAAATGTGATGCTGGTGTTCAGATGTAAAGAAAAAAAAAGAAAGGAAGGAAGGGAGGGAGGGAGGGACAGAGGAAGAGAAGGAGGGAAGATAGGAGCCTTGCCCTTCCCCAAGAATAGTCTGAATGAGTTAAAAAAAAGGGGGGGGGGTCAGAGAGGGCTGGGAGCTGCAGGAAACCTCAGTGAAGGAAAAGTGTGACCTGGATCAACAAAGGACAGAGTGTTGCCAATTGTATCGGCCCAATTTTTTTCTTCCTGAAAGGCAATTCAGCTGGAAGCCCAACCGAGATAAATTCCGAGTAAATAGAGGGAAGCACTGCTTACACCACAGGTGGTGAAGCTGATAAGACCTGTGAAACTGTAATCGAAAAAGTGGGAGACATCGAAAACTCCAAACAGGCTTTCACAGCATTTAAGCAAATGTGTGGCTTGCCGCTCCACCTTGGGTTAAGGAAGTATGGTCAATTGCACTGATGGACACACGTCTTCATCCTTTCCTGTAATAATGTCTAAGGTCATGTCACTTTGCAGGGCCACTGCACTGCAGGTTCTGTGAGTGTGTCCTTCATCATTTGTCTCGATTTGTGTTAAGCAGGCCTGCCGACAACAGTGGCTTAATGGGCTTGAACAATGAGGCTTGTCCTTCACACCTTTGTCTTTGCCAAGAGAACCGGTTTAGACTAGCCAACTATTAAGTAGTTGCCCAAGCAGA